GGGCCTCACCTGCCCGTCCCCACAGCCCCGCAGCTCTGCAGCGGCCACCGTTCCCCCTCAGGGCCGCCATGGCTGCCCCTCCTTCCCCTCAGCGTCGCGTTGCCATGGCAACCCCGCGCGGGGTCGTGACAGCGGGGGCGGGACCTGCCGCTGACGGACAGTCCTTTGACCAATCCGATGCTGAGGCATCTGCCTCTCGACCAATCCACTGCTGCGGGCGGGGCCTGTGGCCGTTGCGTGCATAATGGCCCCTGCAGAAAAAGGGCGGGAAAAGCTTTGTGGGGGCTGAGGGGGATGAAGGAGGATGAGACGGGATCGTGGATTCATAGAATCACAGAATCAACCGGGTTGGAAAAGACCTCTGAGATCAACAAGTCCAACCCTTGCTCCAACCCTGCTGTGGTTACCAGACCATGGCGCGAAGTGCCACATCCAATCTCATCTTAAAAACCTCCAGGGGCGGTGAGTCCACCACCTCCCTGGGCAGCCCATTCCAGTGTCTCATCACTCGCTCCGTAAAAAAATTTTTCCTGATATCCAACCTAATATGAGGGGGATGAAGGAACTGAGGGACTTGAGGAGGGATGAGAGGGATGAAGGGACTTGAGGAGGGATGAGAGGGATGAAGGACTGAGGGACTTGAGGAGGGGCGAGAGGGGTGAAGGGACCTGAAGAGGGATGAGGGGGATAAAGGACTGAGGAGGGATGAGGGGGATGAAGGACTGAGGAGGGATGAGGGGGATGAAGGAGGACGAGGAGGTGAAAGGGGACAAAGGGACCTGAGGAAGGATGAGAGGGATGAAGGACTGAGGGACTGAGGGACTTGAGGAGGGATGAAGGGACTGAGGGACCTGAGGAGCGATGAGGGATGAAGGAGGATGAGGAGGTGAAAGGGGATGAGGGACCTGAAGGGGAATGAGGAGGATGAAGGGACTGAGGAACTGAGGTGATGAGAGGAATGAAGGGGCTGAGGGGATGAGGGAATGAGGGATTGAGGGACTGAGAAGCTGAGGGGGCTGAGGGAGCTGAAGGGGGCTGAGGGACTAGAGGGGACTGAGGGGACATGAAGAGCTAAGGGGACATCAGGTGCCATCCCCATCCTTGTCCCCATCCTTGTCCTCATCCTGGTCTCCATCCTTGTCCTTGTCCCCATCCCAATCCAGAAATAAAGCACAGAGAGTCCCGCCCGACCCACAGCCGAAAATCCCAGGGAAGGGTCATAAGGAGGCGAACAAACACCCCAAACCAACTTAAATCCGAGAGGAGGAGGGAGGAAGTGCTGCTGTCCAAGGGGCTTGGATAGGAAAGGGACATTCATGGTTTGGAGAGATTTTGGGGTATTTTGGGGTATTTTGGGGGTGTTTTTAGGGTGTTTTGAGGGATTTTTTTGGGGTGTTTTTAGGGGTATTTTTGTGGTGATTTGGGGGTGGTTTTAGGGGTTTTTGGGGTGATTTTGAGGGTGATTTTGGGGTGTTTTGGGGCTGATTTTGGGGTGATTTTTGGGGTGAATTTGGAGGTGTTTTCAGGTTGTTTTGGGGGATTTTTGGGAGTATTTTTGGGGTGATTATGGGGGTGGGTTTAGGGCGATTTTGAGGGTGAGTTTGAGTTGGGTTTGGGGTGTTTTGGGGTGTTTGGGGGGATTTTTGGGGTATTTGTGGGGTGATTTTTAGGGTGGTTTGGGGACGATTTGGGGAGGGTTGAGGTGTTTTGGGCGTGATTTAAGGGGGTTTTTAGGGTGATTTTGGGGTATTTTGAGTGATTTGGGGATTTTTTTGGTGATAATGGGATGATTTTGGGGAGGGTTAGGGTGGTTTGGGTGTTGGGGTGATTTAAGGGGGGTTTTAGGGTGATTTTTGGGTATTTTGCGTGATTCAGGGGGTGATTTTGGGATATTTTTTTGGTGATTATGGGGTGATTTTGGGGTGTTTTTAGGGTGTTTTGAGGGATTTTTTTGGGGTGTTTTTTAGGGGTATTTTTGTGGTGATTTGGGGGTGATTTTGGGTTTTTTGAGGTGATTTTGAGGGTGATTTTGGGGTGTTTTGGGGCTGATTTTGGGGTGATTTTTGGGGTGAATTTGGAGGTGTTTTCAGGTTGTTTTGGGGTATTTTTGGGGGTATTTTTGGGGTGATTTAGGGAGGGCTTTGGGGGATTTTGGGGTGATTTTGGAGGTGTTTTTGGGGTGTTTTGGGCATGATTTTTGGGGTGATTTTGGTGTATTTTTGGGCTGTTTTAGGCCGTTTTGGGGTGATTTTGGGGGTATTTTTTGTGATTTTTGAGAGTATTTTTTTGTGATTTTTGGGGTATCTAGGGGGTGATTTTGGGGAAGTTTTTGGGGTGATTTTGGGGTGGTTTTGGGGGTGTTTTTGTGGTGATTTTGGGAGTGGGTTTGGGACGTTTTGGGGGATTTTGGGGGCGTTTTGGGGGTGATTTTAGGGGTGTTTTGGGGTGATTTTGAGGGTGTTTTTGGGGTGTTTTGGGCATGACTTTTGGGGTGATTTTGGTGTATTTTTTGGCTGTTTTAGGGCGTTTTTGGGGTGATCATGGGGGTATTTTTTGTGATTTTGGGAGTACTTTTTTATGATTTTTGGGATACTTTTTATCATTTTTGGGGTATTTAGGGGGTGATTTTGAGGAATTTTTGGGGATGATTTTGGGGTGTTTTTGGGGGTATTTTTGTGGTGATTTTGGGGGTGGGTTTGGGATGTTTCTAGGGTGATTTGGGGGTGTTTTTGGGCTGATTTGGGGGTATTTCGGGGGTGGCTTTGGGATAACTTTTGGGGTGATTTTGGGGGCCTTTTTGTGGTGAGTTTTGGGGTGTTTTCAGGGTGTTTGGGGGGATTTTTTGGGGGTGATTTTGGAGTGGTTTTGGGGTGATTTTTGGGGCGTTTCTGGGCTGATTTTGGCGGGTTTTGCTGAAGGAAAGGACTCACTTTGAGCAAGCACCTGGAGGTGGAAAAAAATTAGTTCTTTATGCACCAATTAGTGCAGAAAGTGAGAGCACGGGAGGGGTCCTGGAACCCCCTCCCTGCCGGGCAGAGATAAGGGATGTTCCTCCACAGACTTTGCTCTGGAAACGTCCTGAGAAACAGCAAAATGGTGGGTACAGAGGTTTTGTCTGCCGGGGAATTTTTAAGGAGAAGAAAAATCTTCATTGTGAAGCAAATAAAAAAGTTTGAAACTGCTACTTGCCTGCCTTGGGGAGACATAAATATTATATATATATGTGTGTGTGTGTGTGTGTGTGTGTGTGT